GAGCCATGAGTTCTGCTACTTTATTGGGGGGCCGTCCTGAGGCAAGCTTGAAAGAAACATTAAGAAACATAAGAATCATGGAGCGCAACCCATGCACTTTGTAAAAAAACACTTTAGAGACACGGTTGCAGAGAAAGATGAGTTCATTGCCACATGCTCCTTGGTTTCTTCTTGGAAGTCTTTGCTTGGGCACAAATTGCTTATATTTTGTGATGGTTCTGCTCTTAGGCCATTTGGAAGATGGGCGAGGGCAATGGGAACGGGAAGGTTCGAGTGTGCTCCAGAAAAACTACTCGCGGCGCAAAGGCAATTTCCTTGTGTATGATCCAACCTTTTATCATCTCTGTTATTCAGAATCTTGGATCCGGATGTTTTTTCAGGTCTCCGGCGTTTTTTTCGGAATCCGGCGGAAAATTTTGCCGGATTGAGGTCCGGCACTTTTTTCCGCCCAAAGGAGGATCCAGGTATGGGTGCCGACCAATGTTTTGGTGTCGTGGCGCCTTCCCCAGTGCATTTTCCCAGCTTTTTGATTTGAAGTGACGCACAGTCATCCCGAGCTTTCCGCAAACCCAACCTAGCCAGCAAATTATTACCCACCCGCAGTGTAAGACGTAAGACTATCCGACCCACTGATGGTTTCCAATGACAACACCAGCAACACCAGCTACCCGATTTGTTCCAAAACAATGATCCAACAGCCAGGGGAATCACTCGGTTCCATGCTACAAACAGTTTGCGTTTCAAACATGTTTTGGTTCCCGAGTGATCCATTGTGGCGATTTTTGGCAGATCCAAAAATAGAGATGCGGGTGACCATCTGAACTACGTCGCTTCGTGCCATTTCATGTGTTTTGATCTCATCGTATGTTTTTTGAGCATAGCCATCACCATGGGCCCGCCCTGGCACATGACAACCCATGCCAACCCATCCCTTTTGTGACAAGAATCTGACCAAATCCATTTGTATCCTTTTGTTGTGAAACATTTATATATAAGGGTTTGTCAGCAGGATGATGCATGGTTTTGGACCATACTGTATGTTGTGAAGAATCCAGTGCCCACCTGAACCATTGTTGATCCATTGTTGTTGCCAATGAATTGAAAACAAACAGACTCCAAATGGTTTTTTAAGACAAGAACATGTTTCTCTTAACATTGATCATATGTACATACTATCACGTTTTAACGCCATGCAAAATCATGCAAACATATTAATTGATATTACCTGTGTTTTGCATTATGTTGGTGTACCGCATGCCATATTGGTGGTGTTGGTTTCCACGAACAGTTTTCTCCTCAGTCCATCATGGTCCATGAATACATCTCACCAAGCAAGCGATCCAGAAATGACCGCTGTCCCGAATGGACGGGATTTTCAACCAGATTTGGTGGAATGATGTCAAATGTATATGCACTGAAACCACCTGGTGATGAACCTACCTGGATTTGCCAAAGGTGATGAGGGCGTTGCTGCGCTACCCCGACACCACAAAAACTGATCTAACTGGCACTGACCAGCCACATTTTTGTGAAGAGAATATGGGAAGCTTTTGGGGGTCCCCCCATGTCAGAAATCGGCTCCACTTCGTTTGTCATCCGCGAATCGAGGTGGGCCACTTTCAGGAGGATTTCCGCTTGGCCGGGCCTTTGCGGAGCATGTTGTTTTTTTGTTTGGGACATGGCTCGATCCGTTCAGATCGGGTGGGTCGTAAAGACATGGGCAAACATATTATTTTGAATGTAGGGTAGTAGCATGTAGTAGCCCAGTACCAATAAGAGTCGGTAAAAGATGGTCACTATTTTTGAGAACGGCCTCCAACCTAACCATCCTCATCCTCCTCATCCACCGAAACCAGGTAATGGGCCAATGTTGCAAAATTCCAGTGTTCGGCCGGCCGGTCGAGGGGTCGACGACACGACGACTCTCCGACGACCGGACGACTCCAGGGCGAAGCTGCATGGCATGTGTTCATGCATGGGCAGTGTGGCCGTTGAATTTGCATGGGAACTTGTGGAACATGACTATCATGATTCTACTAGGCTTGATCGACTGGGCACGGAGTTCACTGACCGACTGGGCCATACTGGGCCTGGGCGAGACATCCCGGATGATGTGAGAGAATCACAATGACCACTCTCAGGCCATGCCAGGCCAGGTGTCCTGAGAACGAGTCTTCAGCCTTGGTCGACCCTAGTGGTGACTCTTCCTTGGTCGATCGATTTTTCAACACTGGGAACTTCCTCTTTTGGTCGGAGAGGTTTTCACCTCCTCGATGTCCTCGATGTCCCAGTCTTTCATCCGTTTTCCGGACTCGGCGCCCGGGTGCAAAACGACTTGCCCCCAGGTCGCTGGCTGGTGGGCTTTGGCCTTGCAGTACAGCACGGCCTTATGTGTGCTGTTCGTGCCAGGGGGCCCTGGGGGACGGTGACCCAGCGATCTGGGTTCCGAAGGTTTCTCTCATGTTCTGGATGTTTTTCTTGGAGGTCACTATAGGCCTTTTGTGGGTCAAGGCCTTCAAACAGTTCACCCGAAACGACCGGTTCGATGCCCGGTTCGTTCTTCCATGTCACGAGAACAACCACCATCCCCGACCTGCGACCGGTGGAACACGACTCCCACGAGCGAAACTCGCGATGGTCGGGTCAAAACAGTTGGACGTCCCTCGGATCTATTCTGAACCCACAGGGCTCCGGGCGTACCTTCGTTTCGAAGGTGTTGGGGTGGGTGCCAGGAGCGGCCAGGAGGGTCCCAATTCCTTCGGAGGTACTTGGAGCCCTATAGGGTAAGAGTGCCACTTTCTGAAAGGTTCCACGTTCGAAGGGAGTGAGAGACCGGAATCAGAGATTGTTCGATACCGTGCCAGCTTGCTGGTATCAAGGTGGCATTGTGAAACTAAGTGGCGTAGCATTGATAGTACTACCATTCTGTGCTGACCAACATGTCTTATCACGGAAGTGGGTTGAACAAAGTAAACAACACAACAAGGGAGATGTCTAGACGGAGATAGTCGTTTCCCATTGCTGATCAATTCAATTGTAGATTCGTCCATGTCTTCCTTCAAAAGGAATCCAAAGGACACGCCGCAGATCCCATTGAGAAGTGGCATTGATACGCTGCCAAACCAAAGCCCACTCCCAACATGTAAATATGGTTGATCGTTCTGCAGATCTGTGGAAACGAGATGAAAAGAGTATAGGAGGACGTTCCATCCTAGTTTTGCCGATCGGGTGTATTTTCTCTATGGGTGAATCTCCTTCGGCAGATTCCTCGGTTGGTCCTGGTTGCTTAAGCAAATCAGAGAAATCCGAACGAATGGAACAGCTCTCAGACATTTCCTACATGTTCTTCGAGACTGTTGGCCCAAATGCCAACAAGTGGGAAGTCATGCTGTTTGCAGACAAGTCCCCACTTGAAAAAACCATGAAAAACCGATCCAAGAACTTCAAACATGTTTTGATTTATCACGATTTCCTCAGAAGATAGTGAGACTCCTTAGACTCCCCCCACCGAATCACCAGAACGAAACGAAGATATAGTTGTTAGCCCATTTCGATCTGATCCTTGCGGCATCAGCCTGGCACCAGCCTGTCAGTAGCTGACCACGCGTCTCACCCAGGTCACTGTCCATCGTGCTGGGTGCAACCTCATGTGTGGCTTGGTGGGACAGTACCAGGTCGGGTCGCTCGACCGCCGAGGCTCCACGACCGCAGGTGCCATCCGCAGAGGGACACGTCCTGGGACATATGATAGTCCTGGCGCCATGGGCCACGTCTGTGAAGTCAACGTCTCCCTCTTGGGGGTCTGGAATCCGCGTTGCAAGGGGCGAGTGAAAGTGACTTGCCCCCCACGCGAGCTGAAAGCACAGGTGGGGTGATTGGGGTGTGGTTTTCCCTGCGCCGATGTTGGTGACTGTCAAATAGAGCCCATCGTAAGAAGCATGTTTGTGATCACAAGCAGCTTGGCGTTCGCTCCTTTGCCAATTTGCTTCCCAACAGGGTCGATCAAATGGTTTTGCATGGTCTCCTTTCCATATCCTTTTGCTGAAGGGAAGCTCTAGAAGCAACAGCCTGAGGGTTGACACACAGCCCACACAGCCTCAATCAAAGGTTGGATGCTTCCTGAAGATCTTCAGTGTTTTCATCATCGTAGACATGGACAACCTGGCCGCCAAGTCGGGCCGCCCTCGGGTAAACACGGTCGGGATGAGGTTGGGGACACGATGAGCAACATGCCGCCCCTGAGAGGGAGGACAAAAACAGTTATGGCTCAAACGGCGAGACGTAGGGAACCAGCAGCTTTAGACGTGAAATATCTTTACCCTAGCCTTCAAAGACCATTAAAAGAACGGTTGAGCGGGTGGTGTAGTGCGAAATCCCTTAGTAAATAAAACAATGGTTCTTTGGTAAAGACCATTAAAACAATGGTTGTTTGAATCCTAGGGTTTAAATGACTTTATATACCAGCACCTTCAAAGGGGTCACCAATGGAAGCCCCTACACTACTAAGGGACCTCCACACAGGACACCCCTTTCAGGTCCAGGTATACTGACCGTTTTTTAGTAAGCCTTAACCCTGAAACCACTGAGTGGTAGATTTTGTACCGGGGTCGATGCCTTACACGGTCTACGTGAGTTTGCAAAGGGATCTGCATTGTTATGTATGCACTTGGCTGGCCACTGGGCACTGATGCCCGATGTCACTCATTTCTTGGCCCCCTTTTCGGCGGGCGCCGGGGTGAAGGATGGCATTCGTCTCGTAGCCTCTAAACCAGTTGGGTCGACTTGTTTGAGTCACGCAGGTGGGAAATGGCAATGAACAAGCCAGCCTTAAGCAGGTGATTCGCTCTGGTTCGCTCCTTTTTGCTTTGGTCAGCTCATGGGGCGCGGGTCTCTTGAGCCACGCCACGGGTGGGTTTCCCGACGAGTCGCGGTCGCCATCCGAGCAAATCCGATCCACGAGGGGACCAGCGGTCTCTTCGACGCCGAGGTTCGTGAACGGCATGGTCGTGCTGGATTTTCACGTGGTCGTTGACCCGGAACGTCTCAAAGAGTACCGGCGAAGGCGCGGAAACGTTGAGTGGAGTGCCCACTTTGGGGGCCAGAAACGTTCAAGGGCGGCAAGATGGACGAGAAACTCGAACTTGGAACTCCCATGACGAGATACACCATCTCAGGCGATGTTCATGTTCAGAGCCCTTGCTTCAAATCGAAGAGGCTACCAAGTGTGAGGGCCCAGCACCATCAAACATCATCAAACACCACATGATATCATTTAGATTTAGATTCATTTAGTCGTCCAAGTGACACCCATCTCTTCTCAAACCAGCCGGTGGTCGGACTCGCTCCGTTTGTGCCAGGCACAAGGAGCGGATCAGGGGTTGCTCCATTCGGACAATCTTCATGATCATGCCAGTGCCTTGCTCCAAGTCGATTCGCGCTGGCAAGTGGCGATGGTGGCGGTGGAGACGAGCCAACAGCATGTGCAGGACCCACTGGAAACAGGAGCCAGGATTGAGGATCCAACTCAGCTATATATAGATGTATGAAGAGTAGTGAGAACCAGCAGATATTCGCAAAAACAGGGTAGGCCTGGGGCATCCTAGAAAGACTGACTCATCAACCAATTAATGTCTTACACACTTAGCCGCGACGAGACCTATTTCTATAAATGAAGAGACATCCCCACCGAGAAAGACGAGAGACATCCCCAAAGCCAGCACAGCCAATTTCCACATGCGGGCCCTTGGACTACTTGGGGGCAAAGGTTTAAATTGTTATCAAGTTATCAACTTGCTTTTACTTGTTAACACTTGCCTTTGTTATGGTTTCTATGGATATGTAACCGGTGTGTTATCAAATTGTTAACACTTCTCTCAAATTGCTATGGTTTCTATTTTTTGGCCCCTCATCGCCACCACGGAGACCCCCTTTGGCGTTGATCGCGGGATTGTTCCACCGAGAGCCATGGATCCCCGCAAAGTGAGAGAAGTCTTTCATACGGTTACCGAAGAACACTGAGTACATTTATCAGTACCTGACATACCTCTACCAGGAGTCACAAAGGGGTGGTGTTTGGTCCCTAAGTGAGTGGATCATGGGCACCCCTAACCTTCATTGATAAGCACCCCTTTGTGACTCCTGGTGTGACCCTCTATGTGACCACTCCAAAGTATGATAAAGTATGACACCTACCCCAGACCCCAAATACCGCGCCAACCAGGGCCGGTCTCCATTCCCCCCTTCTTCGCCCCCTCCATCTATGGGCGCCTCCGTGGCCCTCACGCGTTTGTCGCTGAGGTGACCTTGATCTTGGTCTCTTGGGTCGCGTCGCTCTACTTCAACACCACGCCTTTGACCCTCCTGGCGTCGCTGGGACTTGCAGCGATAGACGGGGGATGGGGATGGGGGGTAGCGAGTTCGACCGAGAGACGGGGGAGAAGGGGGGACAAGGTGCGACCGTAGAAGAAGTGTCGCGCAGGTTTGAAACTCGAGGTTCATTGATCGGGGACCAGGATGCTGGAATTCAGGGGTTCACTTGCTTGGCTTTTAAGGCAAGAATACATGCAGCAGAAGACTTCAGAGACCGAGCAGTATTGTAGTCGTCCAGCGGTCCATTGGAGATGCATTGGATGTGAGGACTGACCACTTCTTGATGGAATGCCATTGATAAGATTGATAGCCGTGCCTCTTCCAGGATGCGAAAGGGACAGTTCCCCAAGCTGCAGCGGAATTTTTTAGGTCGTTTCTTCAAAGCTGTTTCTCAGTTCTTCAAGAATTAAAGGTGACTTCTTGAGATCGGATGGATATCGGTATCACGTCCCAAGTGCCACATATTATATAGAGTGTTAGAGTCTTTGGGCATGAAATGGATGAACCATGATAAACCTCCAACTCAGAGACCACTTTCACCAGCCATAAACCACTCAACCACCACCCTGAAACATGGCCGGCCTTGGGCCCACCACCGAGTGGAGGGCCCGGGGTTTTGCGCCGCCCTCCGATCCGTGAAGGTTCGGACAAGTGGACAATGCGCACGCTCCGAAGATGATCAGCATCGGTGACTGCTGCCCACCCATCATGAGGCCTTCCGCCCCGGAAGGTGTGGGAGATGGTGATGTTTCGATCTGGTGATTTCGACGTTGATACATGATTGGCCACACTTGAAATGAACAAATACATGGGATGTATAGATATGTATTTATAGTGATGATTAGTGATGGATATATATATATATATGATACTGTATCACACCATGGAAGACGACTTCCTGTAGCACCGCGCCAGGCTTGAACATCTCAAGGGTGCCTGGCTGAGGGAAACGGATGATTTTGACCACTACCCTCATTGCTTGGGGAACCAAAAGGTACAGTAATTGTCCACTGGGGATCAGCCATGGGCAGCACTCCAGGTTTGGTGAGCGAAAAGTGTTTGAGATTCAATTTGCAGCAATCCAGGGTGCATCTCATCTCACTTTCACCATTCTCGTCAGATGGCTCAGACCGGCTAGCAGGTCCAGGAACTAGTGGTAGGACCAGAGTGAAACCATGTGAAACCAAACAGTTTGAGGAGAGGGCTATTCACCAGTCCATTCACCCGTGGACCGCTGTGGTTTTCACCTTTTCACGGTTAAACCCGTGGTTTGAGCGACCCCGTGTCGGTCCCCATGTCTCCCAAGGCCAAGACGTGGCGGCCAATGTCTCGGTGCTGCTTCTAGCGGCCATGGACCGCGCGGAGGAGACGGATGGGCCGCGGTGGATCCCGCGCTGGGCACGATGGGTTGGGGGGAATTCAGAAGGAGCAAGCTGAGCATGGGGTGGCCTAACCGGCGATTCAGAAGGATTGGGGCATGGGGTGGCCAACATGTTGGTCTCTTTCAACTTGTATGCAGGTTGGGATGCGATGTTTGCCGAGGGGGATAGTGAATGCAGGCATGTGTCCTTTTGGCCTTCTCTAATTGGATGGAGTTTTATTCTTTTTCTCCATGTAAGCAGTGGACAACGACAACCGTTTACTCACATATCACGTCACTACACATTTAGTATCATTTAGTACTGTAGTGGGTCAGTCTAGGCCTACTCTTACAACCATCATCAGGGCTTCTTGCTGACTTGGACGAAGGTCCACACCTAGACAATCATCCTATATGTTCCTCAATTTTCCAGGAGGGGGCAGCCCAGGGTGACACCATTCGTTGCGGCCCTCCAACAGGTCCATCGGTTTTTTGCCATCCGGGCTCGGCCGACAGGAGGTGAGTGAGGCTCCGAGTGCGATAGCCCAGTGGAGGTGATGCGGTACAATAGGGCATACATGGGCACTGCACGATCGCAATGCGAACAGTAGCATACTGGCATACTACGTAGCCACCGGTGTGAGGCAATCTGCCACCGTCTTTTAGCGGGATTTTCAGAAGGTACTGTAAATCGTGTTATCCTTCATTGGTCATCATTGGTTTGCGCTAAGTCTCCATTAATCCAGTTCTATGACTTTGACGGTATACCTACGTATGTATACTCGGCTTTCCTAGTAAGGTCATTTGTTTGTTTCCTCCTTTCGGGAATCCCAGCGTGCATGGCGGATAGCTTCTATTTTCTTTTGTTTGTCCAGGCTCCTTGTGTCGCCAAGTACGCCTGTATAACTCTAAATCTCATATGTGATATGTACAATGTACACACATACACACATATACAGTCTATGTATAAATCCCGTATATTCACACACATATATATATATGTATATATATATATATTTATACAGCCTATTTGTTGGGAACGTCAGCACTGAGGACTCTACTGGATCGCCTTGGAGTCGCAAGCGGAGCCCATCACCCCCTCCTCCCTGCAGGTGAGCCACACAGATGAGCCACAAGGAAAGGCATGCACGAATAGCTGTGGGTTTACTTGAGCACTAGAATCACTAGAACTGGAGATTCCACTCCGCGTCCGGAGGCCCTATTGCACAGACCACCCATTGATCAAGTTACTTTTGACTATCCCGGTTTTGCTAGGGTGTTTTTCTATGTTCCCTATGTTCCCTGTGCGCGCATCCCCGTTCCTTCTTCCCAGTTCCTTGAACAAATCCAAGCTATGCCCTGTCCGGTCTCCGGTCGTACCTTCGTTTCGTTTCGGTGGGACTGGGGTGGGTGGGTGCCATGTTCGGGTCCCAGTCACACCGAACCTGAGGAGGTACGACCTGTTCGCCCAGTCGGGGGAGGTTGTTGCACGTTAAGCACCACTGGTCCCTCGGAGCGGTGAGAGGTGTGGATCCTTTCGAACGCAGGTGTTGCAGGGCACCGACGCCAATAACAATGCTGCATTTCGATTTGGAAGTGTTGGCCTTAGAAGGAGCCAAGTGGCAAGTTCATCCTTGGATAGAAATTTGAAGTTTGGTCACTGAATTTTGATATGTAAATGAGTTAACTATGTTTAAGCATTTGGGCTGTAGATGATCCGTATTTGTGTCCATCCTGGAATGGGACGAAGGTGTGAACATGAGATGGTCTTCCGGGAGCGAATGTCTCTCCACCACTACGAAGAGGTGGTTCAGATCCCTAGAATATAGCCATATAGCGCTCAATCAACAGTAGCACTCAGCTACTGGCAGCAATTCTGGAGTAGGATTAGCTTGAATGGGTGATTCTTCCTTCAAAGTCCACCCTCCAAAAGACCTGACTTTGAAGAGGGTTTTTGCACTGGGTCCCATCCCAAGATTGCCGAGACAGGTGTCTCCGCAAGGCCAAGAACAGTGGGGTGGAGTGCTGCATCTTGCCAGGGCCCTCCTTTTGAACACGGACCAGACCAGGTCATGGCATTGGCGCTCCAAGCGCCCATGCTCCGACCATGGCGTTGGTGCCTTGAATAGGGCCATCACATCCAACCGTTCACCTGAGTAAGAGGCGACCTGTAAACCTCACATATTGAAGGGCCGTTACCCAGGCACTCCATGCAGGGAGTATGCATATTCACATTTAACATATAATATATCTACATACCAATTATATACTAATATGTACAATCATTTACCTGCATGTGGGGTGGATCAGAACAGGGGTCAATGTAGATCAGATCACCTGTTCCTTCTTCGGTGACCTACCCAAGGTGCGGTGACCACGAGGAGAGGGGACCGGCTGGTGACCCACCGGCGGTGTGAAAGACCTACCGGTCGTCCGTGGATCACCTGCAGGCTGGTCAGTTCTGACCTTGGATCTTTTGGGAGGGAGAACCTCGCTCAACAGTCAAACACGTGGTTTCCACAACTTAAGATCATACGGCCGGCCGGTGAAGGCTGCCGAAGGGTCATGAGCTGGGACATGAGAAGAACACTCAGAGTATGAAACCTTTCTTCCTAGAATCTTGAGGATCACCTCTATATACCTTTATTATCTTTTGGCCGGTGCAAATTCTTGTCAATTCTACATACCCAAAGCTCTTTAACCAACTAGATCAAACAATTAGACTTTATAAATTTACAAGCTGGTGAGACTGAGACTTGACCGTTTCACCACATCAAAGTGTGCCATTGGGCACTGGATGCTTGCCAAAGAGAGTTCCACCCAAGCAACCCACGGCAGCTGCTAAGCCCAGTCAGCCCTGTACCTTGACCAGTTCTTCTGGCTCCAAATCTATCCCAGGAGTCAGTCCTATACCTGGCTGGAGACGCATCATAATGAAGATGCCTCCACGCACTACAAGACGCTGCTGAAGCAGGAGAGTTGGGAGTGAATATAGAGTTGGAGTTTTCCATGGCCACCCTCCAGTGATGTTAATGGGATTTGTTGGGAGCATGCTTCTTAATGTGGAAAACCACCTGTTGGTCATCCTTGGAATCCAAGGCCATTTTCCACTAGATGGTAACATGTTTGAGATGTTTTGTTTGGGGAACATCTTGAAGTGTCCTTGCCAACCATCTCATGACTCAACCTCCCATCAAGGTTCACAGCTTCCTTGTGATGACACATACACCTTCGGCAGGAGAAGATGTACAAGACCACGGAGCCCTTTGAAGCAAGTTTCCTCATCTCTGGGATTCAGGCGGGCCGCTCCTGAGGAGGGCCATCTCGCCCTGTGGGTGGAGGGATTGCCCCATTCTTTGCAACGCAACAATGCATGGAGTGGTGGAACCAAACTCACTTTAAAACCCGTGTTTTCGCGCCCTGATTGGCACACACATCATTTGCCAAGAGCACCTGTTCTAAAAAAAGAACTGGTTCGTGAAGTCAATTGGTCTTTGAGTCTTTCATCGGTGCGCGCCATCGAACAATGATTTTTCGTGGCCATGTCCGTCCTCACCTCACCAAGGCCAGGTCAGGGATCACTTGCAGAACAGCTTGGAAGGGAAAGACAGGATCTTGAAACCACCCAGGGGACTTGCACGCTTTCTCTTTTCCGAGCCTCGGCCTGGACGCATCGCCGAACGAGGCCGCCTATCCCACGACCTATACGGTCTTCGTCACCGCACAAAACCCCCAGAGTCTGGGCGCCTGAGCTCGATGCTCCTCCTGGCCTCCTGGCGCTTGGCCACTTGCGCTTTGGCGGCTGGTGTGTTTGGAAGATGCAAAAGCCAGAGATGGCTGCCACATGCTGCCACAGTTCTTGAATAAAGGTGCATCCTGTAACTTATTCCAGGTGGCTAGCCTATGCTAGCCTCAGGGCTTTTTGAATTCCGGCATGGAGGTGGTTGCTACATGTTGCTACGACATCTAAGAGGAGATTCTTGATGATCCTGGCTTCGAACCCTTCTTGCCGGGAATAATACATCAAGAATCAGGACAGGATCATCCAGATATATCCAGATCATTCCAGATGCCATTTTTGTCAGAAATGGGTCTCGTCCAGTCCCGAGACGCAGACGTAGACCATGGCCTCCCCGCCTCCAAGAACCATCAAAAGTGGAGAATTAGCCTCCTGTTTTTTGGAGGAAAAAGAGTCTCCTCAGGGGCCAGCTGGACTTCCATGGTTGTTGGAGGGAGGGCATACATGCGGGACTAGTGACTAGATCAGATCAGCTGGGGAGGGCCATGGGCCATGGCAGACATTCAGGTGAAGCCTATGTTCATGGCTCCAGTTACACCGGCCTAGCTGGGCATATATTCAGTTTCAAGGACTTTACGCCCTGGAAGATCAACTTGGAACCTGAAAACCACTGGATTTTCAGGTTCCATGTTAATTTGCCCGGGTGTAAGAATATTTTAAAATAGAAACTTGATCAATCTTGTATAGTGCGCTCTTCCACCTGCTGCTGTGTGATGATCGTTTGGCAAATGTCCGCTCATTGTGAGCACTTGAGCATCTTCAGCCCTGAAGCCAACTTTGTGTAGCATCCGCTGTTTTGTAGTTTAATTCTGATCAGTTGTCCTGGGTTTTTTAAAGGTTGATCTTCGATGCCGCTCGGTTTTTGCATTGTCCTCGTTGGTCCGGGTCGACGGATGAGTTCAGATAATGAGGCCGGGCCCTGGCCAGCCAGCCTGCCAGAGGCAGCTTGTAGCGCCCTTAGCGATGATTGATTGAGTTGGCCAAGTGGGTTTGTGGACATGTCACCTTGGAACCTTATAGCCTATAGCTAGTCATGTAGGTCATGCCTCACGATTGCCCTTGACAAATTTATTTTTGTGATCTTTTTGGATTCATGGCATTCTTTTGTTTCAGTGGTGAAAGTGATGGTTGAACATCTTCATCCAGTCTCCCCAGGCTCATCCCTGCCTGTGCCTCCTTCTGCAAGAGCTGCGAGCTCGCGGGTGCACGCTTCTGCGACCCCGGACAGTGCATTGAAGGCCGAGCGGAAAGCCCGTGCGCGTTCCGCGCGCGTGTGCGGGGCGAAGCTGCATGTAGTGGTAGGTCCTGCACTGGAACCCCATGGCTTTAGGTCCTAGAAGGTCACTTAACCTCTTGGATATGTCAGGAACAAGATATTGGAGATGTTGTGGTGGTACGACAGGTGGTGTGTGGATGTCTTCCGCAAGAGTTGTTATTGAGTCAACCAGAGCTCATTGATTGGGATGTCGAGCGTCGACACGAATGGTTCAAGTATAATATCTTACAGTTGCTTAGAGAAGCTTCATCCTGATTGGAACCCTGAACCCGACCACTGTCACAAGGACTGTCACACAGAAAGTAGGTGTGCCAGAAGACTGTCGGGGGAGCCCACAGCTTCGGACCAGTCATGACTGCAGCGGTTGGGCTGAGTTGGGCCGCGTCGAACCCACGTGACGCGTCGAGTTTCTGCGGCCGCATGGCCCCCAAAACCAGGCACGCATTATCATGCCGGCCGCTGCTACCCATGCGTGGAGAATTGCCAGGGCTCCTGACTGGAAGGGTGTTGCCATACACCTCCAGACTGGGAGGGCTCCAGACTGGCCTATGGCCATAGGGCTTAAGCTCCAGAAAAGGATCGACTTTAAGAGCTGGTGATGTTCCTTTTTCCTTAGGTTGGGAGGGAACGGCCCAGGAAACATCATTGAATCATTACCCTACAAGTCCAAAGGCCAGTAAAACCTGGTCCTCCAACAGAGCAGAGGTTGAAGCACTGACGGGTCCTATGGGGTCACTTAAATTGTCTTGGCTTTACCTCATTGAGTCATTATATATATATATATATATATCTGTGTGTGTGGTTTTAACTGATCAACTTGAGCAAAACGAGGTCTTTGACCAGTAACGGGTATGTTCAACCATTTCATGATCAACTTTACGGTGCTGGAGCGTAATGAGCGCTGCTGCCAGCCACAAGCTCTTCCGGGCGTCAGGGGGAGTGCCAGCTCAGCGTTTCGGCTTCTTGATTCATGTGTGGTTGCACTCTGACCCAACATGGATGACATGGAAGGTGGAACAATTCGGCTCCCGGGGGGAAAAACACATTTAATTGCTCTATGAACAGGGTTCCATCATGCCATCCATGTTTTCCACGTCCGTCTGGTGGAACACGGGAGCGTCGAAATCTACCCTTTTCCGTCCATCCGTCCCCCCGAACCAACGGTAAGCGACCTGAAAAAGGATCCTACTCACCTGGCATACCGGTTCCTGGGATAGTCGAACTAGACTTCTTCCATACGCACCGAAGCCTGGATGACCGTATGCCCACATGTCCCATCACATCCTTAGCCTGTACGGTCTCCGTTCGGATCGTCGGGTTCGACTCCCGTCGGACCTCGAGGTGACTCCTGCGACTTCATGGCCACCCCGCTGGACTTCGGCTTCGTGAATCTCACGGACCAGGCGTGAATCGGCGTCGTCGTTTGGGGCACCGCACGAACGGGAGCTGAACGGCACGGCACGTGACCGGCACGTGAGAGGAAGGTGAAAGGAAGGTGTGGACGGTTCACAGCATGGAGGAGAAGATGGAAACATGTTTACTGTATTTAGATGTATTTAGTGGCATCGTATTTTGTGATGTTCCTTGAGGTTCCTGTTGCTTGGAAGTCAGACTCATACGTAGTAAATCAATGACATGTGGCGTTCAATAGTGTTCAGTGATGTTCCCAGTTAATGACTTTGTTTGACTGGGGGGCTACACCACGCTTTCAGCATGGCGTGTGTGCAATAGGTCAGCTTGCTGGGGAGGGCGACCCTAAAGTGGTTCCAACATGTTTCATCCATGCCAGAGGGCCAGAGGGAAACCTTTAGGCCGCCCTTTTGTTGAAGAGATTCAATGTGGTTGTTGCAGAAGCATGTTCTCATGAACCTGGGATGTCACTAAACGGTTTTTATATCCAGCTGCTAGACGAACCCCCGAAAAAACCGCGAGCTCAGCGATGATGGGCAGAATCCTATTCACGTTATTCACGTTGTGTTGGTGTTTTCTCATTCAGCGACCCACCACCCTCCACCCCTAAGAGGCATGAACTCCGGCACCCCTTCGCGGTTCTCTGTTTGACAACCCCATCCACCCTCCACCGGTGCGTACGCCCGGTGCGCGAACGGCAGGAGTCCATCCAGTGCGACCGCGCGGGCTGCAAGCAGGGCTTCGGCTACCAAGGTGGTAGGCGCGGGGCGACCCGTCGGAGCGGTTCCCGCGCGGCCAAGTGATGTAGACAATGTAGACTCTTGATTATTAAAAAATCCTGGTCGAATTCATGAGTCGCCTGGTCTGAATAATTTGCGTAATTTGTGATATTCTTGAACATCAATCTGTATTCAAAAGGACATCAAAAGGAAAGTACTGTAAACTCCAAAGAAAATTGAAAGGACGCTATTCAAGGTGAGGGGTGATCAATCAAGATTCATTAAGTATAATTCAGTGGGTTGGAAGGGCGATTGTGGTGTTTCTTGGCGTTTCCGTCTGCGCGCTTGGGTGGGGCGCCAGGAAAAGGAGTAGGTGGTTTTCTCAGGCCGTGTTTATGAGGTGATGGTTTCGGATATGTTATTTTATTTTATTTTCAACCCTTACTTGGGGATGATTGGACCCTCTGACTAATATTTTTCATGTGGGTTGAAAACACCAACCAGTTTTTCTTTTGGGTCCTGCCTCTTGGGATCCTTTGGCCCAGCGGGAAGGCTTGGGCGCCCAGGCCATTTCCACCGGGTGGCGGTTCTCAGTTCTCCGTCTCCAGGTGTTTGGAGTGCCACGTGAAGCATTGCCGGGACTGCGAGGAGGACCGGCATTCCGAGTGCATGAATTAAGCAGGCTTGAGGTCAGGAGAACTGGTGCTTTCTGAGATTTTGTATGTTCAACCATGTTCAACCTATACTTTGGGATGATTGATCCTCCTGACTCCTGACTCATATTATCTCATATCATATATCTTTTGGTTCGTGAGTTGAAACCTTCCTTCAGGCCCGACACCTTCGCAGGGGAGGAATGACCGGAATGACGCTCTTCCAGTGGGTGAGCAGTAGGGGGTTTTGAGGGCAAGGGGTTTTGTGTCTTAGGGCCTCCGGGGCCTCCAGTCCTTTTATAGAGCGTCTTGAGTTGTGGTATCTTGAGCATCCCATCCCGACAACAAGAGAATCAAACAACATGATTCACACGATGAGTCCAAGTGGTTTTTGAAGCAGCTCTTGCGGGAGCGTTCGACCAAGACCATCCCCTGGACCTGACTTGAGATCGTCAGCAACCCATTTGTTTGGCCACATGCTGCTTAAGCAAGCCCCTCTCCTGGGTCAAAAGCGTTGAACTAAGACGCATAGGCTAATGTCCTTCTTTCTGTAAGCAAGGGTAATGCCGACCGCGTCCTCCTCAACAAAATCTCGCGGAGCAACCCCCTCCAATCTCATGGTATTTGTCGGGTGTTCCTGTCCTGCAGACTCCAGTCCCCCCAAAAACAAGTCTCGAAACCTTTTTGGGTGACTAGGATGGTTTATAGGGTTCTTCAACCTCTGCTGGCAAGGACTTAGCGAGTTGCTCGCTGTGTTTGCCGGGCTTGGGCTTGGACTCGAATGGTCTGGGCACCCGAGCAGCGGCCGGAGAGTTCGCGTGAAGTGGTGAGGACTTAAAGGCAAACACGTTTGCCTTTGTGTTTGGAGGGGTGCAAGTGGCTTTGAAGGATTTGTTTGATGTTGGTTGATTAGCAAGGTGAGAAGGGGCTTTACATGGTTTTACATCAAAAGAGTTTCAAGGGTGAAGGCTTTCAAGGCCCAACACATTTCATCTCAGCCTTTTCCTTTCAGCTTGGCTTTAGACGGTCAAGAACTTTGAGGTCGTTGGCTTCATCATATTGCATTCAGTTCTTTCATGTTCTTTCTGTGCCACCGGCGAATTCACCACTGCTTTGGACCTCTGGCTGTTCCTTCGCGGGTGATTCGAGCGAGGGCTCGGAGGACATCTCTAACATTCCGAACGTGGTAAAGCCGACCAGCACCTTTTTTCTGCGGAGCTCACAGGAAGAAAAGAGGCAGATGAGGCAGGCATATTGGCCCAGATGTGTTAACCAGGTGTTCCTATGTTGTCCGCCCAGCCCAGAGACGGGATTCAGGTCAACGAGCAACGTTTCAACGTTCCGGACTCGGCCGCTTCCAGACTCGTCAGGTACATGCCAGCAATGCGTGAAGCGCTCAGGAGTCGATGGCCACTCGATTGGTCACGGGCAAGTGGAGCCATTTGGCTTCGGAGGGGTTGAGTTGCAGCATGTTGCAGTTTGACCCCATCCGAATCTTGAAGTACCTCGGAATCCAACAAGAGCATCACCCCATTGAGCTGCAGGATGCATTATTGAGGACTAGTTTCAGGCCATAATTACATATAGAACCATATAATATAGAGACAGATAAGTGATTAAACATTATTAGCATTATAATCAGCACATCCAGGAGCTACACGTTCGTGGAGGAAGCGTGTTTCTGTATGCTGTCGCAGTCCCTACATGTTGCACTCAGGGCGGGCCCCACTGCAGGTGCTCAAGGGTGGTGGCATTCTGGATCTCAATGTAGTTGTATATGTGATGTATTGAGATGTAATAGCAGTAATATGTCTCAATAGTAATATGTATTTATCCATATGATCTCAATGTAGTTGTGTATACTGATTTAATTACAGATGCACACATATAAGACGTGTTGATTTATACACATATTTGATGTGCTTGGAAACCTTTCAGGATTCCATTTACTCAAGGGTGTTCACTGGTGTTCGCTTTTCTTGCTGTTTGCCCCCAAGTCCTGCAAGAGTCATCAGTTTGGCCAGTTGCACTAATGATGACGAATGAAGATGTTTGAAAAGAGCTCTATACCTGGGCCTTTTGACCCCAACAGTGTCAGTCGTAGCCTGATGAAACCTAAAATAAATGCACCAGATGCGCCTCGCATGGCCGTTGTCCAGTTTGCTGAACTCTGAACAACAAGGGCAACATGGTCTCTTCCAGTACCCTTGATGTAGCATGTGTACTTCCATTCATCCATCGCTTCTTCGTTGCGCCAATCCACCTGCCAATCCACCTCCCGCGTCCTGCCGTTCAGGTGTTTGGAGCAGGGAGGCTGTGAAGAGTGCGAAGACGGCTGGGGCCCGGCGGAGAACGCCACCTGCGTGAAGTGTCGCTCGGCGAACGCCGGAGGGCGAGTCGCTGGCGGAGAAGCGTAGCGCAAGAAGTCGCGCTATATTAGAAGTCCAAAGACTATATTTTGACCGACTGAAGTAAAGGAAATTCCTTTGCGGGTCACCTAAAGACCATTCTTTTTATAATTCTTTGACTCTCAGGGTATATATATAGCGCCGAGCGGGTTCGTCAGGTCCTGTATTTCCTGTATCCTGGCACGGGCGCATCCAATTCGATCAAAGAGGTTGCTTTAGCACAGTGCTAGATGGTCTGAGTTAACAGATCGCACAGTTTGTTCACATATTCTTTCCCGCATGGCCAAGACATTTATGAACATGTTGCTTTACGTCACGGCATGTGCAAGTTACTTTTAAAAAGCACACAGAGTACATATACACTAAAGAACTTGAGATCAGCCTCAGAACTTGGGAATTTGATCTAATCCAAGTCCACTGGACGGATCAACAACCTGACCAAGAATGAAGGGGATCAACTTCCCACTTGCGATGTCCCTTTCTTTTCCAGGTTGCAGGGAAGTGAAGCAAGGGAGTTTTTGATCCATGATTTGCTCGAGTTCTGGGGAAGTCTTTGGAGCCTGTCCTGACACCCAGATAGTTCATTTGCAAGGGTTTCCATTCCTCCTTGATTTAAGAGGTTCCCTCGAACGGCAAACCCACATTTGGCGTTTGCTCTGGCTGAGGTGCTTCGGGCTGTAAGAGCTGCCCTGGCTCACACAAGAGCTGCAAAGAGTGTGAGCCAGGCTACATTTTTGCCTGAAGCTCAGAAGGTTCCAGAAGAGTTTCTGCATGTTAGCCTTTGAAACACATGGGAGAAGGTGTTGAGCAACAAAAGGGGCAAGGAGTGGTTTTGGTCAACACTGACGTGGTGCTCATGGGTGCTTTGAATCGTCCAGGCCCAGGCTGTGACACGCAGTAGCCTATTGCAGTTTCCTTCGATGTGGAAATCGATGTGGACATCGATCCTGCCGGTGCAGAGGGAGAAACTTTCGTTTCTTATCGGGTGCCAAAAAGGGTGTTTGCTTCTACCGCAGCGACATGAAGCGACGTCAGGCCCGTCGCTCCGGGCCCCCCTGGAAGGCTCTTGGCCTTTCACCGATCGTGGGGCCTGGGAATACGTCGGCCCCTTTTCTTGGATTTGGGTCCCCCTGCTCTTGGTTTGGCGGGACCGTGTTCCAAGAGCAGGACCACCAGCACCGGTGCTTCACCCGCCCGATCACCTCCTTGAGGCCCCGAAGACCGGCATTTGCGAGCGTTGCATTGATCACTGCCGCATCTGCAAGCCCGGGGCACCTGACACCCTTGGGGCGGGGAGGGGGGCGAAGAGGAGGGTTCAAAGGGCTCGAGAGAAAGAGACTCAATGTGGGGCCCCCATTGGAGGAATTCGAAAGAACAAGGGTTCATGATGGTTCATGGATGTTTGTTGGTCAAGCATTTGAAGGTTCCCCACCCGACCCCCCTCCCCCTTCAGGCGCTTCAGGGATGGGGGCATGAGTTTGTGGTCAGCGTGGGTGCTGACTGTGCTTGTAGGGTCGACGGGTGTTTCCACTGACCACATGCACGGCTGGTGGAAAGGAATGACCAGCCGGCTCAGTGACTTCGGATGTCTTCGGGAGACACCGGGCTGGTCCTGGTCCAAGGAGTCTCAAAGGTGGTGAAGACATAAGCCATAAGCCAAAGGTGACCAAAGCCACACTCCAGCCACAAGAAGCACCAAAACAAGAGGAAGCCACCAACATACTAATACAGTTCACTGCAACTGCAAACCACCACAACCCAGCAGGTTGCTAACTTGGCCAGACCTTTTACGACCTTTCCCCAGAGCTCCAGTCGTACTTCCTCAGGTTCGGTATGACTGGACCCGAACATGGCACCCACCCACCTCAGTCCCACCGAAACGAAACGATACGGTACGACCGTAGCCCACGCAACGTCGCGGCACGAGTCCGGCGCCGTGTCAGGGACAGTGGCCGACACAGCTGCGACGAGTGCTATCCTGGCTGGGGCTTGAACCCACTCAGCATGAGGTGGTCGCCCCAAGCGGGCACGCGAGGGTGGACCCCAGCTTCGTGGTCACTAGAGCAGGCAGGACCGAAAGAATAGTTGATGAACTTAAGCAGCATTCGCTTTTGTGTGCAGAAAGGAGTATGGCAGAATCTGGCGTGCTTAGGGGGGTGTTCTGAAAGGGTATATAGGTCACCCAAACCCAGTCCCAACCCCCTGTTCCACAATGGAGACCTCGTCTGTCAAGGGACCCGCGATGAGGGCGGGACGGCACCCCCACAGGTTCTAGCCCTGTTGGTTAGCTGTGAATGCTGTGGTTTACACCCCAAAGTTCCTTGATGCCGCGGTGAAGAAACATACCAGGCCGAGGTCTTGGGGGCGATGGAACCCGGTGTACAGCCGGGGCTTGAACATCATCCCTGAGCGAATCCTCACAGTCCTCCATCCTTCCGAAGAGTAGAGTGGTGACCTTCTAGAGAAATCTTCGCCACCTTGAAAGAAACAACATAAGTACACCGCTCGCTCGCAGCAAATGGTGAAGACGGTGAGCTGAAGGACATGAGACATTTGCAACAGAAAGAGGGGTTTGTTCTCTTCGCGAGACCTGGATTCCCTCAACCTGAGATGTGCGACACCACGGTGCTACTCCCGGACCTGGAGCCCCAAAACCACGACGTGCTGGTCTGAGTCAAGCTTGACACACCTATTAAAACCTCCAACAGAGGTAGCCAGTGACCTGAAATGTGACCGAATAGGGACCTGAAGTAGCCAGGGACCTGAACGGGTCTGATCTTGCTCAATGGTGGGTACCGTATAATGGGAGAGTCGAATCTTCGGTTTCTGAGAAACCTCTGTTGACACATGTTGAAGCCACGAGTCTTGTTCCTTCGAAAAAGCGGGGCCCCAACCGACGTGGTCGAGTCTTTCGGCCGACCTGACCGAGGTGCGAAACGTGCCAGGCGCGACGGGGAGCTCGGTTGAGCTGAGCTCGATGTTTTCATATGTTTTTTGAAATGGCCAAGGTAATTTGAGCCACCTGGCATGGGGAGATTCGTGTTTGGAGTGCATGTTTCTTTTAATTGATCAATATTGATCCTTGATTTGGGGGGTGATATGGGGTGATGTTCCGTGGGGCATCCTGGGCATCCTTCTTGCAGCGAAGGGAGCATGCGTTCTCCTTTGGAGCAAGTACGTGTGCAGGAAAAAAGGGGCGCGCACCCAGTTTCATCCGCTGACGTTTCCCTGACGAGTTCATTTTGCTGGTCCAAGAGTCCAAGGGGTCCAGCCTCTCAAGGCCTCTTGGTCCTGCTCGGAGGGGCTGGGAGTTTTGCGACCGTGGTGGGACGAATTTGGACCAAAGTGGTCGCTGAAGTGCCCACTTCGACTTATATAAAAAAAAATAATACAGTCAGTTTAGAAAGTTCAGATGATGCTCGATGTTTTTTCCCCCATGTTCTTGCCATCCACCCTCCACATCGCTCCACATCGCAATCCGGAAACTCGATCCAGGCAGCCAATTGCTTGAAGTGCAATGGGAATCAGCGAATGTGTTCGGAATGTCGCGTGCTCAGACGACTTGGACAGTTTGGGCAAGAAAGGACATTGATAAGGCAGTAATTAAAATCCAGCAGATTGGGACACGGAGCTTGCAGAAACAAGCAGCAAGTCAATCCAGCTTGACCTTTGCGAACAAAAGGTCGAAAAGAGCTCACCGCACTCTCACGTAACCTCGTTAGGATAAGCGTTTTCCCACAAAGCCTGCACTGGAAAACGGCAGCGGTTGATCTGCCTTCAGAGATTCACCATGCATTTAAAGGAGGCACTGTGAATTTTGGAAGGCAGATTCAAGAGCCAGGAGTCACAAAGGGGTGGTGTTTGGTCCCTAAGTGAGTGGATAATGGGCACCCCCAACCTCCATGGATCGCACCCCTTTTTGACTGTTGGAGAATCCTCCAACTTGGAAGGCTGTTGGACCTGGACAACTCGTCCAGGACGAAACACATTCACACCTGACACATCCACCGGTGAGGCCAAAGCGGCTTTGGAGTGACGCCCGAAGGCAAGACGTGACACGGAGGGATCGGATGAGGACGACATGGAACGGCTATTCCATGCTATACCTAATCATCTAGATCGTTGGTTAAGAAAACCACCCCCAGGCCTGAAGGGGTTTGACAATCTCAATGACAGGTGTTATTGTATTAATCAACAGCCTACAGTAGACTTAGGAGATCTTCCAAGTGACTATGCAAAATGTTTCTTTCATCGGTAAAACCAGCCAACAGGCAGAAATGTTGCCAATTTCCTATCATCATATGTTATCATATCTATTCAGAAATCCATGAGAAATCCATGCGGATGTGTGTGTGTGTGTGAGTGGGTGAGATGTTCTGTTTTTGGTTGGAATTGGGGTGGAGAAGACGACCCAGAATCTATGACGTTCTGCAATTGGTTTGCCTGAGATTCCATAATTGCCAGGTCTTAGGGTGTGCAGGCTTTTTGGGTGTTGTTCATCGGGTCATGAGCCAAGCGGGCCCATGCCAGAGGCCTGTCCTAGACCAGTTGTCAATGAATTTGCATACTTCCGATCGTCATGAAGCACTTGGTCAAGGTTGATTGGGGTGATGCATTACTGCATATTACTGCACATTGTTTTACTATAAAGCATGTTTAGACATCTGCAGTAGGCGGGTGGCAGACGGAGGAGGACCGTCAAGAGACTAGGACAAGGGTCGAAGCCTCCGTTGGCTCGGGAGACTTCTGCCTCGCCTACAGGGACCTGCCAAGACTGCGGAGAGTTCTGCAAGAACTGCGACGCTTGGATGTCCTGACAGGCTGAGTGATGCGACGCCCCCCTCGAGAATGAGGGTGGTTGGATCCCAAGGAATCTCTAGGTGCTTGATCCTGTAGGGACTCGCACCTGTTTGCAGGTGCTGAGGCCTCACCTCCTCAAATTTTATGTTTTCTGTGTTTTCTATGTGTTCAACTGAGGTTGGTCATTTGTTCATTTTTTGTCACTTGTTTAAGCAGGTGGCAGTCCTCGGTCACTTATTTATATAAGCAGGTGGCAGCACCGGTGGTTGTGAGTCCAAAGACGCTAGGGCCGCTAAGGGGTGAAGAGACTTTTGTGATCAAACTGCTGAAGAGAAGCATAGTTGAGTCATTCTGGTCAACCCCAATCATGAACGAAATAGTTTGCCCTTGTGAATGTCAGCCTTTCTTGACTGCAGGGATTAGCTTTTTGATCTACGGCCATGCGATAGGTTCACAAACTGTCCATCAACCAGGGATTGGCTTGCAAGACGGGAAAAGGCAGCTGGCGGCAAGTCTGAAACATCTTGAACCATCCCCGGCCCGCAAAGCAGCCTACGCGAAACACTGGATGTGGTTCGAACACTCCTGTTGATGGACTATCCCGTACCAGGTGCCAATTGAAGCCCTCCAGACATGGCAATAAGCCATGGTTTCCCTTTATATGCGGTATGTATATCACCTGGTGCTAGGTTTCTCTCGCCAACCATGTAGTTCGGGAAAGAACTCAAAACGATCCTGGTCGAAGAGGATCACATATAATTACTGGTGAGAAAGTGCTTCGGTGTGGGATGCTCTTGTAGGGCCGTAGGGCACCATAGGATACCAGGTGCTGCCCCAGGCCTTGGCCTTGCAGTCCAAATCCTCCATGTCGGAGCCATGTTGGCGAGCGCTGTGAAGCCTTCCTCTTTTGCACCAGTCAATCACTGCCGTGTTCGTTGCACCGTTGGCACCGCCGTGCCTCGTCGTGTCCCTTCACCACCGTGTTCGTCGGTTGGGATGCCCAGGATTCCATCGACAACTGCAAGGTCTGCCAAAGTGGCTTCGTGTCCATCAAGGGGCAGAGCCCTGGAATGCATGGGGTTGTGTGGGTGTAAGCGGGTGGGTCAACACATGACCTATGGACCTACAGTGAGAGTTGCAAAAGTTGGATGTTGAACTGTTGAACCCCATGTTTGAACTGGTACAGTAAATACTGTAATTGGTTCACTAAGTGCCTGGGCATTAGTTGGCATGGGTAGAAATCTGGCCTATTCTATGTACATTTTGGGAGCGTGATCCTCACTCGGAGATGTGCCCAGACGTTTTTGGTGGCGACCACTGTGAAACAGCCTTCCTGGCCAAAAGGCCGTAGAATGGGAAGTGACTTTGAAGGAGCCGGTTGAGGTTTTGCAGGTCTCCGGTCACACTCAATAGGCCCACAAAGGAGTGTCTGCCAGTCAGCCAATCAACATCAATCATCCTGTGAACTGACAAGAGTGACCCCTTGAGAGAATTTAGTTACTCATTTGATTCAGCTAACAGTTATCCAATTGGAAAAGGGACCAAAAACGAGAGTTGGCGGTCCAACACAGCAGTGGCTTGCAGTTTCACACATGTTGACGGGCAGAATTTGAATGGGCAGAATATGAAAGGACAGAAGGACAAAACCATATAATCCATTGAATGGCTCGAGAGCACGACATACCATTCAACCAATCGTTCAACCAACCAAGTCTTTCAGTCAGAACATCCCCCTCAACTTCAGTCTTTGCGTCCTCTCCTTCCCCCAACCCCGGGGAATCCTCCAAGCGAGGTGCAAAGGCTGTGCAGACCGTTGCAATGTTTGTGATAAGGCGAGGGGGGCGCCGCCTCCCCACGCGGATCGGTCCGATTTTGGGCACACCAACAGCGTGGGTGTCTGTGTGTTGGGCGGGTGATCTACCATGCTGGGAACAGCCTCTATCCAAGCATGAAATAGGGGGACCTCGCGGCTGGGACCTGTAGGGGAGTAGTTGGTGGTTTTCCAGCATAGCAAGTCTCTACTTGATTCATTGGACAGACAGAGGCTGGTCCAATACAGCCTTTACAATTGATAAAGATTGGGGATGCGTCAAATACTGAAACAGTGCCATTGTTGGTAGGGACGACCATCCCCGAAATCGAGCGATGGAATTGCCTTGCAAGATGCCGTAGTGCCCACAGCATGGTTGATGACATTTCCCACTGACCCTCCGCCCACCTCCGCAATGTTGTATTCAAGTGACCGGTTTGGGTGTGCAAGACAATGTCGTCAGGGCAGGTGATACTGGTAGTAAATACTGGTAGCTGCAATTGGCTTATCCACGCCTATGCCTAGGAATTGCCTCACCGTACAGATGGCCCTGGTTATTCATCAAGGTCATGTTCCCAACCTTTCTGCTGTGAACTCTGTTAACACTTTTGTCATGTTCCCTCCCTTTGTTCCCAACTGTGTTCCCAACCTCTTCAAGACCAAAGATAACCCCAATTCCCCCCCAAAGAAACACTCTCATTCCCAACTATGTCTCCCAACTTGTTCAAGCCCTTTCGTTGTTCCCAAAGCCTTCCCCCCCCAAGAAATCCTCCATCCTTACACCGCTCTGAACTCACACTGTTCGATGAACCCGCCGCTGCCAGTCGTCAGGCCGGCCCGGCCAAGTGCGACCGCTGCTTCCAGGGCTTCCACCTCACCAAGGAGGTCACACCCCTGTGGGGTGGTCCTTTAGGGAGTCCTTTGTCCGGGCAGCGTTCCTATCCGATCGTCGTGTGACATGTGCGTTTTCGAGGGACATGTGTCGTTTTTGCTTAGACTCTATAATATAATACGCGTGGAAAGATGGACTTAATGATTGTGGGAATACGTAGGTTGACTCAGATGGAATCCAAATGTATACGATTTCACCTCACTTCACCACTGCTGGTGAGTTTGTTGCATTTGATCACGGCGGTTGGGTTCTGGGACCAAAGTGGCTTCTTTCACTTGTGCTTTGCAGTTCCGAGCCCTGTTCTTCCCCGGGAGTTGCGTCGGTTCCTTGCCCGACATGGGCGTCCAGTGTTCCAGTGGTTTTCGCCTCTATTCATTCAAGGTTTGCTTGAACCAGGTTGAACAGCCCTTTGTCGTCCATCCCATATGTACCACAGACCAGAGTCCTAGTTGAGGTCTCTCAACCTCTCTCGGAAAAGTCGAACGGTTCCTGTGGCCCGGCCTCGCGACGGTTCCTCTCCGGTTCGCGCCTCCTGCCAGTCCATTTGTGAGCGAGGGGCGGCCAGCTGACGTCCGGGACGTCTCACGCGGGGGACGGACGCATGGCGGGCCGGACGCAGCGAAACATGAGCGAAGCTGATGTGGGGAGGAGGTCGGGGGGTGCGGCTTGGGAAGTGTTCAACAACTTGGTGTACACTCCCAAGAACGAACTTGGACCCTGAACATGGCACATCATGGCACCCGAAAGTGTGCTTTCCTCTCCAGACCAGTGGTTTTCAGGTATACCGACAATCTATGACAATCTAAAATGGGTGTGGCGAAGTTCTGGCGAAGCTATATGATTCATTTTGTATAAGACACAACTTTGATCCAACTTAATGGCTTGAAGCACCTTTGATCTATTATAACTTAGGACTTAATAACCTCTAACATTTTCTTGGAGCTAAAGTATAAAACAGCTCAGAGTAAACCCAAGGACAGACAGAAGTGCTACAAGTTTCCAATCCGAGGCCCTGCAGTGCCACCTGCAGCCCAGCCATCATCCACCAGGGTCGCGCTCGGCCATTGCCAAGGGTTAGAGAAGAATGCTTTGCATTGGCTACTACATCCATTTGATCGCAGGGAAGAGGAAAGCAACCGAAAATCTTGGATGAACATGTGCAAGAAGACAAAGAGAAGAGGTTCATGGGACCTATGCGAAGAACCACGCCAAACCAGTACAGTTTGCGGCAACGTTTTCCTTTTGCCTAAGTAGTTGAGGTTCAGGCTTCGAGGTTGTGCTACAGACGCTTGGCAACTTGGCAATGGCCGTAGCGCAAGATCAATGAAACAACACAACTAAAGCCTGCAGGTCCCAATCCTTGTTTTTGTGGGACAGGGGGTCGGGTAACCCTTCAGCCCACGGATTCTGACCCTTTGCAAGTTTGGGAGAACATTGTAAGAACATCCATGGATTCTATCCGTAGATCGTTTGACATCCATAGAAAGCAGAACTTACTTGTTGTATTGGTAGATTTCAGGGAACGAAAGCGAGAGGAATACAGCTCAAGCCTAAGCGCATTTACTGCCTTCTGATTGGTGGCAGTGCATGAACATGCATGAACAACAACTCCACGGCGCATCATCAGACTTCCCCATACCCAAGAAACCCATCTCTAGGGTCTGTCCTATTGCCTGTAACAGTCAGTAGACAATTATCATCATGTTTGAACAAGGCCTGCAACCTAACCATCATCATCCACTGGGCCCAGGTAGACTCGGATAGACCCAACCCATCTATATTTCAGATTCCCTGAGGCACTGAGTTATCAATTACTACGGCCTTCTACAGCAATACCCTTCATGGTCCAACCTGGTGGCTTTTTTCCACGGCTGCAATCGAGACTTTGGGCAGCTGGCACGTATGAGAATGTCTCTCCATGAAACCTAAGAATCTCAAAACGACGAATGGGCCCAAGCGGGTCAACAAGTGCTAGGCCAAAACAATATATACTACCTTCGGATAACATGTCACTTAGTGACGCCTTCACTGCGATTTGTTCGCCGCAGTATGCCGCACACCGTCTCCCAGCGCACACCGTGGCCTCCGCAGGACGTGGCGGACACCGTGGTCTCGCCGGTGGCGCCGGTGGCGAAGCGCCCGGCGAACCAAAAGACGCGGAGATGCGGAGCTCGGCTGCGCCAGGTCAGTGGAGCTCGGCGAGTGTGACGAGCACTGACCTGGCGCCGGGAGGGGCGAAGACATGGAAAGGCAGGTGTATGTGATGGGCACCATGTGATGGGCGAAGCCTGCAACTCCCTGGGTCAAGAGGGTCAACTTCAACGACGATAATGACAACCCTTCGTGTTTCAAGTGTTTCATGAGGTTGGACATGTTGCTTTTGGCTGGGCCATACCCCTCCACAGTCCAGCCCATGACATTTAGCATATCATGTGTCCAAACCCTCCACCGTTTGCAGCGGAAAACGCTAACATGCTCTAACAACAGGTCAAGTTCAGAGATTGATCATGGTTCAACTGGGTGCAGAATCCGAATCCATATGACCAGCCATTGGAGAGTCCCAAAAGGAGAGGGTTCCATTTGGATTTTGGCATCGGTTTACATGGCATTTGGAATACTTGAGACTTTCACAAAATCAAGGGACCTCCAAGAGGAGCTGCCTTTGAAGTAAGGTATATAGCTAGTTTTGATGGCACCTGACATGATGAGTGATGTTGATCTGCGGCGTTGTTTTTGTGGCGGCGCCGGTGTCCATTCGGGAATTCTGAAGCGCGTTGTCATGGCCCAAACGCATGAAGCAAGCTACAAAAAGGAGGGGAGGTTGGGTCAGACTGAGACTCCAAGAACTGAATGGAGAGTCGTCCATCAACTCACCTACCTGGACACTACCTGGACATTCGAACATGTCTAACACAGTCTTGGGAAATCCTTGTAAGAAGGCAAAGATCAAAAGCATTTGACCAAAAGATGCTGGTAAATGAGCAATGCTTTCAAGTGCTCACCTTGGAGAGCTCATTGACTCCAAGCCCCATTCATGGATTCAATGCTTGGATAAGTTCTTTCAACGTTCCAGACCGAAAAGTCGCCCTCAAGCAGACCGAAAAGTGTCGGACCTGGTGATATCCATGTTTGGAACCTAAAGTCCTAAAAAGGACCAGATCCATCAACCCCCAATTGACAGTCCGTGTGCTGCTGTGGCCGCAGCCTTCTTTGAAACCACGTGGCATGGCGCGGCATGACGAGGAGCTTCCCTTGTTGGCCTCTCCTGCTCCTCATATCGAGGCCCTGGGCGCCTCACCACAACCCGGTGCTCAACGCGGTATAGACCGGTCCGCCGCGCAGTGCTTGGACCAGAGTTCAGTAGCATGTTCTGTATCTTTTTCTCATATATGAACTACGGTCAAAACATGCAGGGGGTAGGTTTGTGCACAAAGTGGACAATAAGGTCCAATTCAAAACCGATACTGTAACGTCAATGTTTTAGCTGAAAGGCATATTATGATTTTTGACCGTCCCTCATATGTTTTAAGTGATCACCGACTAGACTGCTTCCGGGTGTTCATGGAAAGTCTCTTGGTTTTGTTTTTTGAGCCATAGCCCAGAACTCAATGAAATAGTTTCAAGGCAATACCTGAACTGCGACACATCCCTCAAGTTGTGGGAATCCCCGAGTTGGGCTCGCCACGCAGCATGTGACAAAAACAAATCTTAGATGGCTAACGGCTAACAGACTGGATCCAGACGGGGTCCAGAGAATGATGGAGATGTCCAAGTTCCATGCGCAATTGTCGAACTTTCCATCCATTTTTTGACATATAGACTTGGTCTATATAGGTCCATTTGATTGAGCTTTTACCCAAACCTTACAATCCAAAGCTTCCACAGTCAATCCAACTCCACTGAGGCTCGCGTGGAAGAAGCTTCTGGTGAACAGTCCTCCTGCCTGGGCGCAGTCTCCCGACCTACTGGGCAGCCGACGGGGCGAGCCACAGCTGGAATCGAGGATCCCACCGTTCCTTGCACGACAGGACCTGGACGGAAGTGGGATGGGCGGATGATGGTGCCGCACGCGGATGGGTTGAATATATTAAGGCTCCTCTGATGGGTTGAAAGAGGTGACTTGGTTTTGGAGTTGCATGTTGAAAAGTTTGGGAGGTAAACGTGTACTATTCATACAGGTTACATGTCAATAGGCTTAAGAGAACTACAATTGTTGAATGATCAGTACGGAGATTGCTTCTATGATAGTGATCTTCAACCACCAGTTGTAGTTTGCTTGCCATCGCAGTTGGGAGGGTAACCTTGTTGTTCGAATTTGTTCGACATGTTTGAGGAAACATTCAGGGACAAATTTGCGGTGCTCAGCTTCTCCAAGTCAGTTAGACAATGTTAGACATACATACGGCCAAGCTTAAGCCTCACCTGTAGTTGCCTTCCTCAGGTTTCTCCAAGTCAAGAACAATAGCCAAACCGTGTCCCAAACCAGCTGAGCCGGTCGCTTGGAGCACAGGGTCCGGTCTGGCGCTCATCCTCCGTGCTGAACCGCTTCGCCCAGGTTCCCCGCATGGCCGAGCAGCTCGACGACCTGGCCCTTCGAAACGCCCAGCCTCTCCCAGGAGTGGCGAGTCGGGCAGTTCACGCGGTGCAAGGTGAGCCGGAACCGTGTTTTCCAAGTGATTTTGGTGCTTAAATAGATCTTTAACGGTGGCTGCTGCAGTTCGGTGAGGTTCGGAAGTGGGGCATTGCTGGAGGCATTGATAAGACCTCCCAAGGAGGGAAACCTACCATGTAATGGTGCACGCACGCAGTGACCTAACGCAGTGCCCATGCTTAACTCCTTGGTCAGGCCATTTGCATCCCCTGAAGAGCAAAGGTCTTCGATCTTCTTCAGGAAATGGAAAGCGAGCCTCTCATACAAGGCGCCCCTTTCTAAAACAATCCGACAATCTGCATATTGCATCATGTTGCGTCGTATGATATATACATACTCGTGTGTTTGCATTTTTCTACACATATAAGATATAAGTACACATGACACAATATGCATACATTATGTAGAATATGCTTAATAATATGTCGCCAACCTGTATATTCCTGTTAACCCTCCATCCTAGAATCATGGATGCAGTTTGTGGTTTGTAGGCTTGACTGCAGAGGCTTCCAGTTTGGGCCATTTGCTTCCGGTTTCGGTCTTCTTCGAGTATCTTCAAGTCTTGGAGGTTGTGCCCCACTGCATTTGGACATTCGCGTCACTTGGACGAAGCTGGACATCATTGAAGCCTTGGGTGAGAAAAAGATGTCCATTTCACATGACGATTTCTTCTCGGACCACGCCAGGATGATGAGGATGAGATCGCGCGCTTCTTAAGCGTCCCGACGGCCAATGCGGCGGAACGGGAGAGGCGTTGGCTGTTCAGCCTTGGTGGCCACCAATCGTACCAATCCCAAGTCAATGGAAGCCAGCACCGTACGTGGTGCGAAGTCCAACAATAGCCGATAGGTTTTCCTTCAAACACGCTGGCCGCTTGACCTCCGCGTTCGCACCATTTGTGACAGCTTCGCTGCGTAT